CAAATTGACTTTCATGTTCAGAAATTACTACCCAAATCCCTGAATAAACATATAGTAACCACTCATTTTCACGTAATAATACCACAAAGCATTGCTAGAAAATATAGAATATATGTTATTGGTAACATTGAAGAATTGGGGATGTCAAAAAAAGGAATTATACAACTAAAACAAAGCAAAAAAAATTTAATATACTGGTATTCTGATCCTGTTAGAATACCACTTTCAGCTTTTCATCAAAAAAATATACAATATAGTTACCATATTTATAAAGGCGCCGAAACTGGTATTAAGAAGCATTTAAATAAGTGGATTCCTAACAGACGGTCGCGTGATGAAGATGAAAATCCTGATGTAATTACAGGCGAATGGACCTTTGAAGAAACTGAGCATGAATTAATTTCTAAGGAAAATCAATACGATATATGGAGATGTAATAATATTAACAATATGCGTTTAATAGTTTATCAGGAGGATTATCCATTTCTTTTTATCATCTATAATTCTATAACTTTTAAAAATCTAAAAGATAAAATCATAGAATATCAAGATATCAACAAAACACATTCACCTGTATTAAATTATAATATGATAATACGCTTTTTATACACATGCCTTCGTAATCATAGTACCGTTGAGCAACGGATATTTCTATTTGTGCTATTGAGTTACATATTGAATGAAAAAGCAGTGTTCAACCTTCCAATAAATTTTCCTTCCGTTAAGCTGTTAGAAGCTTTTAATGGTGTTAATGAAGATCATTTACCTCATGACGTTATTATATTATTGGCTCCAGTTGTCTCTGCTTTAGCACAACATGCCTCAGCTTACTATACAAAATTTGAATGGATGAGCGCTTTTAAAATCGCGCCTTTTGCAGATCCAAATTATACCTTCCTCGAAAAGATTAAAAAGCCTGTATATACCAAAGATAATGTGTATGATTTTCAACAATATCTCTATAAAATTGTCAAGCCATGTATAGATAATATTAGTGAAGAACATGAAATGACTTATGTGAATATTTGCAAGGTAAGCATATTGAATTTATTATGATTTCTGATTTTTTATGCAATATCAAGTATAAGAATAGTCTTTAACTATCATATTGTCTGTGTCTTGATTTAAAAATAGACTCTCATTAAACTTTGTAAAGATCTTGCTGTGGTCGCATTTTTATGGCAAAAAATTTTCCGGCCTAGTGTAAAGCTAGATGATGAATTTAATCAATATTTAATTGAATGCATAAGTAACTTTATAGCAATGGATAATGCTAAAGACTTATATAAACATCTTGAAGAGATACCTATTGATATAGACATCAATTTTGCTCCTCTATTTCGTGATAGAGTTTTGATTTTGTTGCGTAGCACGGGAATTTCTTGGAACAAGTATAATCAAGATGCGATATTCAAGTTGCTTCATAATTATAGATTAAAATGGCAAAAAGCTTCTGTATTACAAGCATTCGAATATATTTCTGTTTCTCAAAATCCTGATTTGCTACAGGTTTTTCCAATCCAATTCAGTAGTTTTTTAAAAGAAGGTCTCATGGATGAAAAAGTCAGCAAAATTTGCGCTCAATGGTTCAAATCCATATTATCATATCTCAAAAAGGTTGTATACAATGATGAAAATTTTGCATATATAGTCCTTTATCATCTTGAAATAATTTATAATATTGTTACCAAATACAACATTACATGCGACGATTTGTTTGAAATTGCTGAGAGAGAAATCAAATCTCTTTCGGATGATGTAATATTTAGTGCTGCTACTGATGCTGGAAAATTAAAACAAATAAAAGTTCTAGAATTCTTTTGTCGTATACTAAAAGAAAAATTTAGTACTGATGTTAGAAACATCGATGGTAAGCTACTATCAAAGATAATGAGGATTTGCAACTCTAATGCACGTAAATTATGTATTCGAAACAGGCAAGTTGCTTTTGCTATTTCTTTCCTTATTTTTCTTATATTATTAACATTTAATTTA